ACGGTGTGAGTTATCTTACCTATTTACAAAAAAGGTGATAGGTTCTTTTGTGACATCATCATCGTACAGCGAGATACAGTGAAGCGAACTTCACTGGTCGCTGCCAAGCTCCCAGTGTACACAAAGTAAGTGATAATGTACAAGATGAAGAGGGCCTCAGCCTAATTGGAGTACACAGTTTAGCTGTGCACACCCAACTTTTCAAGCATTTTAAATATCGCTGGTATCATACACCTCGGTTGTCAACCAAACGTGAACAGTGCACGCCTAGATATGTTTTAGATCTTACCGGCTGAGATATGGCTGCCCCTTCTCCTAACCCGTAACATTCCGTCAGACAACTTGTTCGTCTCTCGCCAAAGCTCATTGCCGGGTCGCACTGTAAGTAATTTACCAGCGAATAGATTGCAGATTCTGAAGCTTTGTCAATCACTGAATCTGGTTGTGTTCTAGTTTTGTTACGCTTCACTCTACGACTCATCGGTCATCGGTAGAAATCGCCTCCTCAGTTAGCTTATCATCGTCTGCGCGATCCGTCTGTCTGGGATAGTTCGGATCATCACAAAAGTGTAACTTCTGTGATGCTTCGCAACCTGACACTCTTAAGGGAGATGAATATCTCTGAACAACAAGCAGAGTTCCGACCTGGTCGCGGTCGCATTGACCAAATCTTCACTCTGCGTCAGGTCCTCGAAATGCACCATACACCTCGTGGGCCAGCGATTGCAATGTTCCCTATCTGAAAGGAGCCTTCGAAGCAGTTGACCGTGAAGCTGTTGAGTTCTCTGCTTCACAACGGAATGACCCACAAGTAGGTAAACCTATTGCTTTCACCGTATCTGCATACTTCGGGTACCGTAGAGGTCTACGGAGGACGAGTAAAATTGTTCGAAACCAGGAGAAATGTTCGCCAAGGGCGCCCTGTTTCGCCATTCCCATTCAAGTTCATCGTAGACAAAATACTGGAGAACGCAGTTGGTCTCCGAAATTTTGTTATTGAACGGGCTGCTGAAAAAAATGTTCGATTTAGAGTGCACTGATGACATTAATCTATTCTGATGTATGGAGAATAGGCAAGTTCTGTAACTCCATTTGGTATGCGCTTTGCAACTTCGAAGTGATGCTACAATATCGGGTGTTGTCTACCCCCGATTTGATCCTTGATGGTTGGGAATTACTCATAGTGGATTGTTTCTTACTAAGCAACTCTAAATAAAGACGTTGCCTATTTGATGTTGATTCGGTAGAAAGTTCGTTATCACGTAAAAATCGGATCAGTAGGCTTCGCTAGTTAGGACGTATTTCTCATGACCAACAATCTGCTACCTCTTCCCGTTTTATTCACAGTCGCAGCTCCAGGTTGGAGAAAACCACGTGGAGGTTAGCAGATGACGTGGAAACGGGGCCTGAATAAATGCACAGAGCGATTAGGTGGAGTAGGTGTCTCCGGTTTTCCAGCTTGGAGTCCGAAAGACAGATGGATATGTCAACTAACCGATAGCAGTGGTGATCTTGTGATTACTTATCAGATCAGAATCCTTGAAAAGCATATTTGGATAGTTAATCAGTGCAATCTGTGTTGACCATGGGAGTTGATTTTCTTTACCTCCTTCCAATTACGTCCAAGCCCTACCCATTTTGTACTTTCTCACTTATTTTATATACATTGAAAGCTTGGCAGCGATCATGGAAGTTTACTTTACTACAGTGCGCTTTTCGCTGGTGTTAAATGGAGTTCTGACACACCAAAAGCCGAGCTATTCGATAGCTCACCGAACTCCTTTCGTTGGGCCGAATCTCTGAAAAAGTTTGGATGGTGAGTGACTATGACTGCCAGGTTGGAAAATGGAACGCATCACAAGCTGCCGTTGGCTTAGCTCAGTACAATAATACTGGTTCTCCGGGACATCCCACGTCGAATCTGATCACGCATTAGTTCGTATGCAGTTCACTCCTCAACTCACTGCTCGCAGGAGGCACCAGCAAAACCCCGTTAGCAGATCATCGCTCATCCGACCCGGCCGTTCGTGTCCGTTTTGGATCAGAACTGTTGCATGAGCTAAACGAGTGACAGCCTAATATTGTAGTTGAGCAATAAGATAACATTGACCGCGCGGTACACTTCCTAGTGAGAGTTGCCTGTGGATATGTGCTTGTCCGAAGAATTTGGTATCTGATGAGTCAGTAGCCCTGATAGAGAAAAAGCGGAAAATCCCGACCTCCGGAGGTCAAAGTACGGGTAGGTGGCATCTGCAACGCCAGCTCACGAAGAGCTTTAAAAAAGACCGTGAAAAATGGTGGGCAACAGTATCCATCGAAATGGAAGTAGCAGTTGCATCAGGGAATAGTCAAAGACTGTTCCGACTGATACGCAACATGAGAGGTCGGCGAACCACAGTTAGTGAAGCAATCTGCGGCAAAAGCGAACAAGCTATTCACAGTAGAAAGCAATGGCTTGACCCGTGGGCGGGGTACTTCAACGAACAGTTCAGTTGGCCAGGGGCTAACCAGACTGTCTCGTCTGTTGTAGTTGAGGCGCCGTGGACAGTGTTATGTGAACCGCCTATTGAAGCACTCGTGCGATCTTACATCCAAGTCCTTACCAAAGGAAAAAGGCAGGACCAGACGGGCTTGCTCCCACTCTTTGCAAGATGGGGCGGGGGGATGACCTCGTAGAATCCATTACTGATTTGAGGGGTAACATCTGGTCACACAAGCGCATTCTGTCATTCTGGAGCGAATCATTGACTGTTCCAATTTTTATAATGGATCTCGCACCGACTGCACGAACCATCACCGAATAAGTTTGATCCCAATCGTTAACAAAGTTCTAGTCTCCGTCATACCTCGGGGTTTGACGCCATTCAGTGGGATATTAATCCGTGAACGACAAGCAGGATTCCGACTAAATATTCGCGTTGCGTCAAGACTCCGAGATACTTCATGCACTCCGTAGACTGTCAGTTATAGTGTTCCTTAACCTAAAAGAAGCCTTCGACTCAGTTGCAAAGAATGGGAGCAAGCCCGTCTGGTCCTGCCTTTTTCCTTTGGTAAGGACTTGGATGTAAGATCGCACGAGTGCTTCAATAGGCGGTTCACATAACACTGTCCACGGCGCCTCAACTACAACAGACGAGACAGTCTGGTTAGCCCCTGGCCAACTGAACTGTTCGTTGAAGTACCCCGCCCACGGGTCAAGCCATTGTTTTCTATTGTGAATAGCTTGTTCGCTTTTGCCGCAGATTGTTTCACTAACTGTGGTTCGCCGACCTCTCATGTTGCGTATCAGTCGGAACAGTCTTTGACTATTCCCTGATGCAACTGCTACTTCCATTTCGATGGATACTGTTGCCCACCATTTTTCACGGTCTTTTTTAAAGCTCTTCGTGAGCTGGCGTTGCAGATGCCACCTACCCGTACTTTGACCTCCGGAGGTCGGGATTTTCCGCTTTTTCTCTATCAGGGCTACTGACTCATCAGATACCAAATTCTTCGGACAAGTACAGATCCACGGGCAACTCAAGGAGGACGTTTGAATTCGGTTGCGCCATTTATCTTGAAATTCATATTTACACTTTAATACATTTATTATCATCAAATCGCATCGTGATCAATTTCAAAGACAGCAAACGCTATCCTGCAGACGCACGTTCACGAAATATTTATATGTTATCTCACGAAGTGCACCTTTTGTGAAGTGTTCCAGCAATGCAAGAAATAATTTGAAGCGGATGATGAAAACAAAACGGTAGATGGAGAAAGTATCTAGCAGGTTGGTTGATCGCTCTCAGCCGGTGCAGCGCCAGTCGAGTGCAAATTCCTCTCATTTTAACAAGCAGTGTTCGTTCTCTGTTAGGAAAAGCCGAGGAGGTAGTAGACATCACACGGAAAAAGGAGTACAAAAACCTTGGAATTTTCATGCTTCAGGAATCGTGGCTGCACGAAGAAAGCCCTTGTGAAATTTTACATCTGGATGGATATAACTTGTATCGAATTAACCGTCCCATACGTGTCCGTAAACGAGGTGGAGTTGTCGCAAGTTACGTTTGCGATAACTGGAGTAACCGCTATCATCTTTGAATACTCAACGGATAAAATCAGTTGTCACGTCATCGAATGTAAGCCCCGTTTTTTGAGTGGGTTTCATTCCATACTTCTTGGAAACTTTTTCCTGTCACCAACAATATCAGTGGCTGACATAAATAGCTTTTCTGACATCTTTTCTACCTCCATAATATCAAAAACAAGTGACTGTGTATATTTGTTGGTGATTTCAACACACATGATGTAACATTTCTCACCACACTGATACATTTTCCTACCAGACTCAATTCACAACTTGATTTCGTTTTTTTAAACAGACCGCAATTTTTTGAAGTCCATCAGCATGCTCCTCTGAGCAGTTCAGACCATTGTACCTTAAAAGTATGTCCCACTGTATACAGCAAAACTAACCGATACACAATTTTAAGAAGACCCTCCAAGATAGTGAGTCAAACAATTTGGTTATCAGGGAATCTAGAAAGGCTAAGATCCATGATTGCCACGACAGATTTTTCGGTGTTTCCCGATCGGAACCCTTCTGTCCTCTGTGAACGTGTTAGGTTACCACGGCGTGCGATGTTCGCCGAAGCAGGTACCGAGTGGAAAAAGCCAAGGGTGGTCAAGCTAAGACCTGGCACGAGGGTATGAAAACCCTAACCAGGAAACTGGGTCACATAGATCCTGTTAGGCTCCCTGGCTGGGGACCTCGGGATGATCGTAACCGATGGTTAGAGACACTGAGCGATATGGCTGGATGTCGTCAACAGTAGCTTTCGTGCATCTCCTCAATTTCTTTGCAACCTTAGACCACTGAACTTCTCCATTTTCTTTTCGACTCCAATTTCAAATTGTGGAGGGCTATCGACCGATTGTGTGGCAGTAGTAATAAGCACAAAAAGGAAGACTAGATTCTGAGTTTAGTCCAGTTTCACAATGCACTGCCCTGCCCGACATAGTCAGCTCTATGCCGACACCAACTATTGAGCCCGCCACAGTCCTAAAACAGCTACTAAAATCTAAGTTGAGTAAAGCATCGGGTCCGGATGAACTATCACCTGTTGTACTTAGGGTATGTGCGGACACCCTTTCAGCCCCATTGTCAAAAATATTCAATGACTGTCTGATAAGCAGAAAAATCCCTGATATTTGGAGACTGGCCAAGATAACTCCCGTTCCTAAAAAGGAAACTAGGAAGTATCGTCCCATCGCCTGCACGTCAGTCATGCTCAAATTATTTGAGAGATGCNAGATGCTTGTTACTGTGGGTTATCACGAGTCTGAGGAAGACGGCATACATCAATATGCATATCGCTCTTCGCACTCAACACTTATGCCGTTGCATACCTTGTTCATTCAATAATTTCGGTACTAGATAAAAAAGTAAGACCGTCAGAATGCTGTTCTTAGACTACAAAACGCTTTCGGCAGTCTTGATCGATCAGTATTGCTGAACCTGATTACCGAAAGTGATGTTAATCCAAACGTTAGTAGATCGATGTGCGATTATTTCACAAATAAGAAGGCAGTTTACGTGCCTCAACGGAAAAAGTCCTCCACTCGCCCAGTTTCTTTTGGTGTTCTGCATGGTGCAATATTTTCCCCATTCTTCTTTTCAGTGTATGTCAAACAATTTCCCATTCCTCCTGCATTCATTGGCTATAAATACGCAGATGAGGTTATTTTAGGTTCAAAGCCCCCACCCCTGAAGAGGCTTCAGAAATTAAAAGCAAGTTAAATGACGTTATTACTTGATCCCTGTCCCGTTCCCTCTCATTGAATGCTTGTAAATGTGAAGATGTTGCATTTTCCCTCTTGGCCGATGTGCCCTATTCAGCCCTTACAGATAGGTTCCCCACCCTCTATGCCAACCAACAATCCTTACCGAAATCAACAGTAGTAACATACCTTGTCGTTACCTTATCACACAATTTATCATGGTCACTGCAAGTTCAAAACACATTCTGTAAAGTTAGAAAGCTTTCATATTTCTCACTCCGATTGAGATTACTTTCTGTTCTCCATAGGCTGTTTTGTTAGGTTTGTGAGTGCATGCGTGCTACCCCACTGGTTGTAATTCTCCCCACTGGTTTTCCCCGGTATGTTGAAGAAAGATTTTTATTTACTGGCGAGATCTCTGAAACACATCTCTAAATGTAGTGGTATTGCCATGGATAAACTCGCGGATTTTATCATAGACACACTTACAAGCATGCGAAAGTTTCACTGCCAAAATACTCTCAGACACTCATCACCCATTACACAACGAATTTTCAAAAGCTGTATCAACATCATTCACACGCTCAAGATTTAAACTTTTATTTGCTCATACCTCTGTTTATCATAATTCTGTTCTGCCATATGTAGCACGTCTACTTATTGACAAAGGAAAAATTTCCACAGAATCGCGCAAATGCTTGCTTCATTGACAAGCACAATCTACTGCTTTCAGTTTCTTTATGCAATGATTTTATAACTTTAAATTCACAAATATGGTGCAAATGCTGAAAATTCACCCATCCGGGTGCATAAAGCTACTACTGAATTGACGTGATTTGAACTCTCACTAGGAAGTGTACCGCGCGGTCAATGTTATCTTATTGCTCAACTACAATATTAGGCTGTCACTCGTTTAGCTCATGCAACAGTTCTGATCCAAAACGGACACGAACGGCCGGGTCGGATGAGCGATGATCTGCTAACGGGGTTTTGCTGGTGCCTCCTGCGAGCAGTGAGTTGAGGAGTGAACTGCATACGAACTAATGCGTGATCAGATTCGACATGGGTGGCCCAAGAGAGCCGGTAGTATTGTACTAAACGACACCGGCGCCAGCTACTGCTATGTGATCAGTCTGAGTTAGCATACCAATTTATTTGGGGCGCCACGTTGCCGTCCGTTGAGACCAGTTTAGGAAGTTGACACTGGATTGCGACAGATGATCATCTGCGCAGAACTGAAGAAGTCGATCGCCATTATCTGTTCGCTGGCAGGGCAGAGCACAATGACCGCCTAGGCTAGTTTCCGATACGCTCAGTTTTCCAACTTGAGCGGTAAAATCACCTTTGAGAACAACTAGATCGGAGTTTCGACTCAACCGAATGAGTTCGGTGAGTTTATCATGAAAGCCGTCCTGTTGTGCGTCAGAACTGCAGTTAGTCGGTGCATACGCTGAAATGATGAACAAACACCTTTTAGTGTTGCTTCCTTCTGGGACGCTGATACACCTTTGGAACCGCATCGCACATAAGCTCTTGGCGGGGATCCAATCGAGCAGTGCGGCTTCGGCTGTATTGTTGAGTTGTTGAGTACAATGCCCACGTCATGCTGACCTACTGAACGGGCTTCGTCATCACCTGACTCGCGGAGGAGGAACCTCGAAAACAACTCCAGTGCACTGAAGTGGCTTATAGTACTAGGATCCTGGATTCGCGTCGCCGATACGCAACAGATATCAATCCCCAAAGAGTCCATTATACGCGCCAGACACGCTTGTTGACCTATCTGCATCAAAGTCTTAACGCTGAAGGCTCCCAGATTCAGTGGCTGACGAGGCTTCAGAATCTGCTATCTATTTTGTGGTAAACTACTTACTGGGCTACTTGGCGACGATCTTAGGCAAGTGACAAACATGTCTGAGAGAATTTTACGGGTCGGAAGAAGGGGTAAAGGGAGAGTTACGTACGGAAGACAACGATTTTAACAAGAGTTGGAATGTCTGAGCAGTAGATCACTTATCACTACCCACCCCGCTCGATACAACGGGCAGCGCGTTCCTAATTATCCTGCGCGACGACCGATACTGCCAGGATGTTCCACCACTAAGTAGGAGAACGATTAGGATCCTCGTTCAAGACCCTTAGTTCTGACGAGAAACTGACCGCAAGGCAGCGGGTGAAGCGAAGTAGAGGCCCATCAACTTGGATCGATTACTCTACCAATTTACCAATTGAAACACTGACTCGAGTCAAACCCCAACCTGGAGGACCAAGAGACTGGTTTTTCTCTGACCTCCACCCATTGATCCTCCAGGGATGATAAGATCTCCTGTCTTGATAAAGCCATGTTGTACAGCTCGTTGGGTCACAGAGGTGCACAGTTCAGTTCAGTTCTTACACAAGCCATCACCACGTCAATTTGCTCTACCGCAACTTACCTGAATCTTCAATTAGCAGTACAATCTTGTATGCGTTCTTCAGATGCATTTCGATGCCTCATCCTCGCACAGGTACGAGTCCGTCTCCATAATCAAATCTATGATAAAGTTGAATAGAAAACGAGAGAAAAGGCCACCCTAGCGAACGCCACTTTGCATAGTAAAGTCAAGCGGAAAGGTGCCGTGAGCTCCGACTCAGCTTCGGTTATTAGTTTACAGGGATCGTAGTATTGAAATAAACTTTTCGAGTGCACCCTTGAGGGAAGGGCAGCGCCAGAGTTTAGAGCGGTCGACTGAGTCGAAGTTTGCTTTTAGATCGAGGAAGACAAAAATAGTGGATCTATGAAGAGAATGTTGGTGTTCCTGAATTTTTTCTGAGAGTGATAATATGGGCCGTGCAACTTCAAACGAATACTTCAGTGAACAGTTCAGCTGGCCTAGTGCTAATCAGGCTGCTTTATCTGCAACTGAAATTTTATCACTAACATTGTATGCATTGCGAGTTTGGCAGCTATCAGTGAAGTTCGCTTCACTGTATTTCGCTGTACGATGATGATGATGATGATAACTTCAAACAAGTCTAAAACCAGCCCGGTTCTCAGGTTTGCACTGTTCATGTGGGACAGACAATCGACGGTGTATGGTGCTAGAGAGAAACTTCTGAACTTTGTTAGTCAAATTAATTCCTCTGTTCAATCGGCATTGTGACAAATTGACACCATTCAGAACACACAATATAGGCAAACATACGTTTTCGATGAATTCCTTTTCAAGTTTTCACAATCACATTTATATGAAACAATTTCAATAGGTTCAAACAGATAGATGAATAAGTCATGTGTTTGCTAATGAGCCCGAGAGGACTCCAAATTGGCACGCTGTTTGGATTACTTAACCAAAATTCGCTGTTACGTCATGGTCATATGAACAAACGATTTTCTCTTCCCCTGGCCAGGGGATTTTGAGTGCTTCGATCACTTTTCGTTGTATGCACAGCTCATGAGTCGGATGCAAATCGCCTCTGCGGTCCCTAATGTCCGAAATCGTTTTGTTCTCGAGATGTGTGGCGAGACCGGATAGATGATTGTAACTGCCGAGCGCATGTTAATCAAGTGTCCCGTCTCTACCTGATGAGCAAAGATCGAAATTGACACAGTTTCACTCCCATCCTGTGTGAGCCAGCGTGGTTCGATACGTTAAGATAACTGCTTTGTCGTTTGACTTGCACAGGTGCACTTGAAATGATAGACAACCATGAACGAGGTCAACATAGGCAGAATTGGATGTTTCGTGACGCATCTAAGCGGCATTAAAAGTGGATTTCACTACGGTGGATAAAACTCTAATAACCCAGTCAGCGGCGACATCACCTTTGAATGGAAGTTTTATGTAAAGCGTTTTCTTCTCCGCTTTTCGTATTTCTTTTTTTGTATTCTATTCAATCGAATTACGGTTGAGAAACTTCTCAGGAAATCCATTTTCCAGTAAAGTTCTCACTGGTCTAGTTTCGTCCGTTGAAGTGTCCCATAAACAGATGCGCCTTGCCCTCTGCAGGAGGCAGTGTATGAGGCTGCGTTTTCGATAGTGGGACAGAGCTATGGCCATATATGTACTGTCCACCGTATGTTTCGTTTCGATTTATCTTTCTTTGGATAAAGCCATTGTGGTGTCTAGTCAGATGAATATTCAAAAGGAGAAAGCAGTCATTCTCCTCTCGTTCATTTGTGAACTTAATTGACGAATGTGCTGCGTTGAATTTACACCATTCAGTTGGAACCAGTTCCTTCTCCCACAACCCACCCAGAACTAAGACTGGCCTTCCCTCCCTAAAAGCTGTCAGAGATGGCTCGTGGCCGATGACCTTATATTTTTGGAGACAACTTATTTCTCGAGAAACCTCCATTTCAGATGGGGGACTAGTGTTACCTAGGAATATTTGCTCAGTGGAGGTGGGGGTCGATATCGACGGAGCCGATTAAACTTAGCCTCAAAATGTTCAGCCCAACACCGTTTGCACATTTACCTTGCTATCGCTCTCAGCTTAGTCCTGCATTAGTCGACCGAATGGGTAACTGAACATCAACTACCATAGGGTAAGGTCAGTTGTTGCACAGAATAAGAATAGATGAAGAATCCAAATGGGAACTCCCGCTTTTTTGTTCACTATCTTTATTACATTTTTTTGACTGAGTTCATTGGTTTCTTTGTTTTCAGATATTCTGCGTACACGGTGGACTGTCACCGGCTATCGCAACACTGGATCAGATCCGCACAATCGATCGCAAGCAAGAAGTACCCCATGATGGTCCTATGTGCGATCTTTTGTGGTCTGATCCAGAAGAAACAAACGGTTGGGGCGTTAGTCCACGCGGTGCGGGATACCTTTTCGGTTCAGATATTGTCGCAAATTTCAATCAGGTAAGATACTCGCGTACAAGTCACTTGTATTGTATTGTCCTGAGCAGTGATACAGAACTCGTTGGTGTCGTACTTTCTGTTGTTCACATCGATTATTCAAGCTGTAAACCGATTATGGTGATGGAAATTCGAAAAAATCTGCTCGGTGAGGCCAAGTTATGCAGCCATAGAGCAACAGAGTCGTGATATATATATATATATATCGTCGTGACGCTTTCAATAAAAAAGAGTATATTGCGCGTCTGCCAAAGATGTCGCGAGTCGCCGCGCAACTCCCGAGATAGGCAGCTTTTAACCGCTTCCAATGCATTGAGAACCCAGCCGGAGTGCTGACAAGCTCTTACTAATCTTTCAGCAGCACCTTGCACTATAAAGATGCTAGACATACCGTACACAAAGTAACCTTGTCATACTGAGAACCTCGGTTGCCAAGTGATTTAGCGCGTTAGCATCGCCTGTATATTGCCACCGAGCGAGACAGCATCAGCGATGCGGCGTGTAAGTGTACCACTATACATGAGGAAGCTCAACGCCGTGGTCCGTTACGTTAATTAGCACTTTTGGCGGAATATAGTGGCAAAGTTGAAAAGAAACAGGGTGACGAAGTAGCCCTGACGCACACTCCACCGATGACAAAAACGAGGGGGTGAAGTTTTTCACAAGCCGACGAGGTCTGATAGTAGCGTACTCTTAGAATCGGAATATTCTTCTCGGGTACTCCATGTGTGCAAAGAGTTCGACAGCGTGGTAGGACGATGAATCTAGTAGAGAGGTACCGATGTTTAAAACTCGATGAAAGTTTGGTGGTGATATCCCAACAGCTGACGAAAGGTAGGAATTTTCATCTGTGCAACACCAACGTACATGGTGTGCATCTTTTCGCGAACCAGAGTTAGTCTGTGAAATAAAACATGCGGGGAGCTTCAGCGTTATGGGAATCAAAGTCCTTTCTCGGTGACAGCTCCTCTTAGAAATAAATAAAACAATCTTTTTCTCCCAGTTTAGGGAAATGGTCTGGTGAGTTCTCACAAAAGAGTCTATTGTAATTTGTCTGATCCAATCAAGCCACGGCGTTCCCGGGCTTGGATTCCCACATATGTGGGCGTTTCCGCCGGTAGCGACTAGGGAGCACTTTCAGGACTGTTTGGAATAGCCAGCTCTCGCACTGTAATGTGGAGTCCTATGCCCAGTGTCTTAAGCATCGATGCATTTTGCATATTGGCTTGCTGTCTACTTCGTCGGTTAATTTTACAAAACATGGACTTAACAACTAGTTCTTTTTCCTTTGTGTGTATCGTCCACCAGTGTTCTTAGTCATCTATTTGTGAATTCGCAGTCACTGTCTGCCGGGATTACCTGACAGTCGCCATAAAATGCCAGAGGAAATCGAATTTTTTAAAGTTGTACGGGCCATATCGCATGATACGCGGAAATCAGCAGTGGGATAAGCCCCGTAATACATGGGGCTCGGGGAATATTCATCCAAAAATGTTGCTTTTGAGCTTGGGTATAGAAATGGTATGTGAGGAGAGGAAAAACAGAGTATCACAACTCTGCAGTTCCGGAAAAGAGAATCTGAACACCGCCGTTCGACCGACTCATCACCGTATTCTTTTCGCATTGTTTATCTTACGGCCTCAGTTGACTTAAGCAACAACTATCTTCGCTTTCCCCTCTCCCCCCGCCCCCCCCCCCCNGGTAATGTGGCAGCCATCCTCCGCCTGGATGAACGTCTGAAACAAGATTTTGCCATATTTGAGGCGGCACCTCAGGTACAGAAAGAATGTTGACAGGGATTTTTCTTGTCTACCTCTACTCGAAATATTGTTCTCACATTTACGATAAACCTTGATGAAAATTTTCCGTCCGCTTCTGATGCACGTAATCACGTGTTTCAACTTCTGCTGCTTTACCTTCCCTAAGTTCCACAAAGATTATTGTACTGTGATTTGTTTCGCACAGTCTTAACTCAGACGTGAGTGACAAAATATATGTATTACCTTCTGTAGCTTCAGAGATAAGCCTAGCCTTCATGTACGCATCTACCACAATCGAATACGCGGAAACAAATGTGGAGATAATTACCCAGCTCCACCAGCGATCATTAATGTGTGATCCATCCTAGATATTAACCTACTTTTACACTTCATTGTTCGATGAACATGAATAGTCGCCAGTAAGTAGTTAGAATTGGTGCATGGAGTGTTTTTTCATCAATGGAATAACGCAACCCATCTTGTTGTAGTATCTTTTTTTAACCGTTCTCTCTTGCTGACCTATAATAGCATCCCAGTTGATGGTTCCATAATGGTTTAGCAGTCATCCAGTAAGTAATGAAAGGGTCAGAATGAATAATGACGAGCTTTCATGGTCAATCTGTACAGTTTCTATCTGTCGAATATGTAGTAGTACTACGTCTGTTTCTGTCTCCATACTGATTTCGACTGATCCTGTCTTTTTTTACAGGATGTCCGAAATATCCCAGCCCGCAAACCGGTCCCGGACTATTTCCTATAATCTGCTCAATCCACTCTTCCGCCTTGTTCGACCGTGGCCGGTTCAGTTGCTATTTGCGACTAAACGGCGACCGAGCCACACTGGTCTCGGTGCATTTTTGTACGAAATCTCCTTAGCTATTCAGTGTGATATGTTACCGTTTTGCAGCATCCGGACTTTTGACGTCGTGTTGTACATTTATTGGCCTATGAACCGCGCATTTTGTATGTATGTCAGAGATTCTCCTATGTGCTGTGCAACACTACCACCACCGACTCTACTAACCACAATAAAAGAAAGCACTGATCTTGTAAACAAATAATCGTCTTGTTTTTTTCACATGACAAACTAATTTCTTCCGTCGATAGAATATATCACATTGGTTAGCAATCAGACTAAGATGAAATTGTCCGAATAGTCGTGGAGTCAATTATATTGCTCCAGCAATCACCATTTAGCGTTTCGTTTCGCTGCGACAAGTTCGATGAACTGGCGATGATTGGCGTATAAATTCAGATCCGAGTTGACGTCCATCCAACGAACGTTTCGGGCATCGTCANGTCACCTGTGAATAATAGATGCAAAGAGAACATTTGAGAAAGCAGTTTGTGACAATTGATGTGAATGAACTAGACATCTGGTCCCTAGGTTGGTTATATCCAATCACCTAACAGGGATGGTTTAGTTTCATCATTCTGGAAAATTCCCATCTCGGCATGGAGAGAAAACACGGTGGTTTTAGCGAACAAGCTCATTTTCGACAACTTCTTCTTCAGGCTAATACAGTTATATAGTGAAAATTAAAATGTTCGTGAATGGCTGTGTGATTCGTGGTTTGTGATTGTTTCTGGTATGTGGTTGGGAAAGGGTGGGATTGGAGGATGTGATCGTAACACGGTTAGAAAGTGCGATTGGGACATAGACGTGTCAACACGTGTTAGGGTCTCGGGGTCATGTCCCATGATGATTTGCGTGCCTCCATGACCCTGCGAGCTACACAGGATGGCTTCTCACAGCCGTAGATCCAA